AACCTGTGGTGGCAGCAATGGCAATAAGAGAATGGCAGAAAACTAAAACAGAATGATGGGAACCTTCCTCTCCAATCAGCAGTAGTCTCAATAGGTGAAATGAGTGAGCCTTTGATGCTTTTTCTCTCTCTGTCCTCTTGCTACTTGGCCCCAGACACTGAAAAAGGGTGTTCCAATGAACTGGGAGGTATTGAAGAGATCGCAGACAGGGAGCAGCACATTTACAGATCTGACACTAAACACCAGGTCACAGACTCTGAGAACTGAAGAGATAAACCGCAGCTCACGTCCCAGACTGGCCACTGGGTGGCATGCACACAGGACCAATCCAAATAGGTTTGCAAAGGCTTTGAAAATCATGCTAACATTGAAACCAAAGCCCACAGAATGATGGTGAGAACTTGTGGTCTCAACCTAAATGTGTCAATTGCCTCCTAAAACAAAACTATCAACATTCCCCATTATATTGAAACAAGTCCAAGAAGCTCATAATATAATACTCAAAATGTTCAAGATCCAATCCAGAATTATTTGGCCTTGGGCAGAACCAGGAAAATCTTAACTTGAATGAAAGAATTCAATTAATAGATGCCAATGCTGAGATGACACACATGGTAGAATTATCTGACAATGAGTTTAAAGCAGCTTTCTAAAAATGCTTGCAAGTAAGGAACACCTTTCAAACAAATAGAAAGATGGAAAGTCTCAGCAAAGAAAGATAATACATAAAGAAAAACCAAATGGTAATTTTAGAACTTAAAAATACAATAACCAAAATTTAAATACAGAGAGAAGAATACTTTTTAAAAAAAAACACAGTGCCTCAAGGATCTATGGGATAATACCAAAAGGTATAACATTGGTGCCAAAGTAGTTACGGAAGGAAAGGGGAATGTGGAACAGAAAATTTATTTGAAGAAATAATAGCTGAAAATGTCTCAAATTTAGTAAATGACAAACTTAGAAATTCAAGCTCAGCAAACTCCAAACAGGATAAATTAAAATAAATACATGTCAAGACACATCACTGGCAAATTCAATCAAACAATTAAAGAAGAAATGACACCTATTCAACATAATCTCTCCCCAAAAGTATTAGGCTGTCGGAAAAGTCATGACATATTTTTTCTGTTTTTCTTCGCAAAAATACCTCATGACTTTTCCAACAACCCAATAGAAGAGGAAGGAACACTTGCCAATTCATTTTATGAGTCCAGCACATCAAAACCAGACCAAAACAGCACGAAAAACTACAGACCAATATCCCTCATGAAAATAAATGCAAAAATACTCAATAAAATACTAGTAATGCAGCAACATTAAAAAGGAATACACCATGACTACACCGTGGGAATGTAAGGATGGTTCAATATTTTAAAAAATCAATGGACTAAAGAAGAAAAACCACATGATCCCATCAATAGATGTGGAAAATGCATTTGACAATATGCACCCATTCCTGATTTAAAAATCTCAGTAAACTAGGAATAAACTTCCTCAACCTGATAACATGCATCTACAAAACCTATAGGTAATATCATTCTTAATGCTAAGTGAATGCTTTCCCCAAAGATCAGGAACAAGACAGGGATATCCTCTCTCCATACTCGTATTCAACATCATTTGGAAATCCTAGATAGTGCAGTTAAATCAAGAAAATAAAAAAGGCATACAGCCCGGAAAAGAAATAAAACTGTCCCTATTTACAGACAACAAAATCACCTGCACAGAAAATATCAAGAAATCTACCAAAAAACTACTAGTGAGTTTAGAAAGGTGACCTTGTGATACAAGGTCAACACACAAAAATCAATCATATTTTTATATACTGGCAAAGAACAATTAGAAATTGAAACGAACCAAACAATATCTTTTACAATGGGTGCTCAAATATTAAATACTTAAGTATAAATATAAAAAGGAAGATATACAGGAATTGTATGCTAAAAACTATAGAACACTGATGAAAGAAATCAAACACAACCTAAATAAATGCAGATGTATAATGTCTTCTGGAGTTTGAAGATCCACCAAATTCATATATATGTATATAACATACACACACACACACTGGGGGTGCCAAAAAACATATACAAGTGGACACTTTGGTCAACGTTGCTCAAGCAGTAGTTCACTGTAATCGGAAGTGCCTGGATGCTGATTGTAACCACTTTGAGCACCTCTTGTAATTGCAGAAGTCAAAGTGACTTGTATTCATCTTTCGTTATCAGTATATATTGAATGTTACAATTGTAATACAGTTTTCCTTTCTTAAAATGTGTATACTTTTTCTGATATACACATATACGTGTGTGTATATTTATATATATAAAACCAAAGAGGTTTAATTAATGTTTGAACAGAACTATGCTCTATGCCTAAGCGTTCTCAGAAGTCTATTTGCATATGCCAATTTCTTTTTCTTTTTTTAAATTAAATTTACTGGGGTGACATTCCTTAGTAAAATTATATAGGTTTCAAGTGTACATTTCTATAATACATCATCTATATATTGCATTGTGTGTTCACCACCCAGAGTCAGTTCTCCTTCCATCACCATATTTGATCCCCTTTTCCCTCTTCTATCACCTCCCCACTCCCCCTTACCCTCTGGTAACCACTAAACTGTTGCCTGTGTCTATGAGTTTTTGTTTGTTTGTCTTGTTCCTTTGTTGTTTTCAGTTTTACATCCCACATATGAGTGACGTCATATGATTCTTGACTTTTGCTGTCTCATTTATTTTGCTTAGCATAATAATCTCAAAATCCATCTGTATATTTAAAGGAATTCCAATTATAATCCCAGCAGGATTTTTTGTTGAAATTTATATGGAAAGGCAAAGAAACTAGAATAGACAAAATACTTTTGATAAAGCATAAAACTGGAGTAATCACATCTGAAACTAATAAAAAAACTGGAGGAAATCACTACACAATTTTAAGACTTACCATAAAGCTACAGTATTTAAGACAATGAGCTCTTTGCAAAGAAATAGACACATAGGTCAACTGAACAGAAGAGTCCAGAAACAGATTCACACCAATGTGGGCAATTGATTTTTGATAAACGAAATTCAATGGAGAAAGCACAGTCTTTTCAACGAACTGTGTTGAAGCAAGCGAACATCCGTATGCAAAAACAAAACAAATCACCCCATATTTTATACAAAAATAAACTCAAAACAGATGATTTGATTTAAATGTAAAACTATATAATTTTTAGAATGGGAGAATTTGTCATGCTTCAGTTAGGCAGTTAGGCAAAGAGTTTTTAGACATGACACCAAATGCATGACCCATAAAAGATAAAAATTGAGAAAAGTTTAAAACTTTTGCTTTGCAAAAGACACTGTTAAAAAAATGTAAAGACAAACTACAGGCTGGGAGAAAATATTTGCAAATCAGACATCTGACAAAGGACTTGTATGCAGAACATATACAGAACTCTCAAAACTCAACAGTAAGTAAACAAATAACCCAATTAAAAATGGGCAAACGACTATTAACGAACAGACCATTCATCAAAGAGGATATATGGATGGCAAATAAGCACGAGAAAAAAATGTTCATTAGTCATCTGAAAAATGCAAATTAAAATTATGATGAGCTACCACCATGTACCTATTAGAATGGCTATAAAAAATACTGACAATAACAAGTGCTAAAGGGGAATGGAACAGCCACTGTAGAAAATGGTTTGGCAGGGTCTCATAAAGTTAAATATACACTTACCATATGACCCAGAAATCCCACTCCTAGGTATTTATATTAGGGAAATGAAAATTTATTTTCATACAAAAACCTGTACACAAATGTTTACAGGAGTTGTATTCAAACCACCAAAAATTGGAAACAACTCAAATATCCTCTCTAGGAATGACTGGATAAACAAATGATGGTATACGCACACAATACTATTTGGCAATAAAAACAAATGAATTTTTGACAGATGAAACATGCAACAACTTAGAAGAATTTTAAAGGCATTATGTTGAATGAAAAATGCCATTCTCAAAAGATTACATACTGTATGATTCTAGTCACATACTCTTCTCTAAAAGACATAACTATAGTGAAAGAATAGATGGGTAGTTGCCAGGAGAATAGTGATAAGCTTGTGTGTGATTGCAAACACACAGCCTGAAGGATTTGGGGGTGGTTCAACTGTTCTGATCCTGAATGTGATGGTGGTTACATAAATCTATACATGTGTTAAAAATTCACAGACCTGTACACACACATACATAAAAGTCAGTTTTACTCTATGTTAATTTCAAAAAATCAAACTGGAAAACCCCGAGTGCAAGAATAAATCAACTTGTTAAAAATAAAAGTAAGTTATTAACTTTTAGTTTCACAAGACAAATCCCAATCAAGCCCTTTTTTCACTATTAACAATAAAATTGGGGCCGAGTGGCTCAGTTGGTTAAGAGCTTGCTCAAGAGTTTGAGCTCTGAGCAACAGCGGTTCGAGTCCAGCCTGAGCTGAGCAGCCACTAAGCTGCCAACAGGTAGCAGGATGGCTCAGCTAAAAAAAAAAAAAACTTTCAAAAAAACCCAAAAACAATAAAATATTGATTCTTGTTTTATGTGGATCTACTTTAAGTGTCTTTTACATTACCCATTATCCTCCACTAAGCAAGACATCCTTTATATTAAAATATACATTGAAACAATAAAAAGTAGAAGGATATATGCTAGAGTGATAATACAGCAAGTTGTTTCTGGGTAATGAGATTTATGTGACATTTTTTCTTTATTTTCTAAATTTTCCACAGTAAGCTTGGCAACTTTTGATATCAGTGGAAAAACGGTAAAGAACCCTTTCAATCCAGGCCCTTTTAATGTTTCCTCAAAGAAACTCTGGGGCTCCAGCCTATAAAAATGGAGGAGACAAGCAGCTAGGAAGAGAGAAGGCAGGCAGCACTGGAAAGATCACATGTGCCGGGGGTTCTGGTGAACAAAAACTAGCGACTCTTAGAAAGGGGGAGGCTAGCTCACCTGAGACTGTTTGAAAACATCCTTCCCAACCACATCCAGGTTAGAGGGGTCTTTGATGGAACTAACATACTCAGAAACAGCCTTGATCACCACATCACAGGGAGGAAGAACCAGCTGATGAGCTCGGACCTAGAAGAGGTAAAATAAGCAAGGAACACTGACTTCACACATGAGTCACTAAGAAAAAGGGTGAGGTTGGGGTGAGATACAAAATTCAAATTCAGTAAATCCACTGAAAGACAAGTAAAATATTTTCTATAAAAATAGTTTTCCCCATAATTCTCAGTAAAGAATACTTTGAAAAGATTTAAAAGTATAAAAGAAAGATAAAATCCTATCATCCATAATGCTACTACAGAGATAACCAATGTTTTATGACACTCCCATAATTAATCAGTTTTCTTTCATGATACATTTTGGCTACTTCCAATTTTTTTGCTATTAAAGGTAGTGTTGAAATATGTGGGCCATGTTTGGATCCTGATTTGAACTAACCACAAAAAGGCCTTTTTGATACAACCAGGAAAATCCAAAAATAAACTGTATATTAATAACAAGAAATCACCAATTTTGTTAGGAGTAATAATGGCATTGTGCTTATATATGAAAATGCCAACATGTTTTAGAGATGCATATCGAAGAATATTGAAGTGAAATGACTTGAAGTATGGAATTTATTTTAAAATACATTAGCAGTAGCAACAAAAAAAGCGCCAGCAATTGTGGCTACATCTTGATAACTGCTGAAGCTAGATGTTACAATGGTAGCTCACTATGTTATTATATTATTTTCTCTACTTTGTGATGCTTGAAAAATTTTAATATAAAGGTTTTTTAATGCTGTCATAAAATATAGGTATGATTTGTCATCCATTTTCCAATTATTTAATTATTATACAAGCTTCCTAAAACAGTAGTAATTACTGAATCAAAGGGTATAAACTTCTTAAAGGACTTTTAAATAAATTGTTTAGGCAAAAGCCTGTACCATTCATTCCTTCAAAAAATATTTACTGCCTACTATGTGCTAGGCACTGTCCTAGGTACCAGGGATACAGCTGTGAACAAGATAAACAAAGATCCCTGACTTCCTGGGAGCTCACATTCTAATGTAGGTGTGTCTGGATGGGATGGGGTGAATGGAATCAAACAAAGAAAATAAGTAAGTAAAATGTATAGTGTGCTTGATGTAGATAAGTGTTATGGAGAAAATCTAAGCAGAGAAGGGGCTAAGGAATGAGAGCGAGAAAGAGAGAAAGAGAGAGAGAGAGAGAGAGAGAGAGAGAGAGAGAGAGAGAGAG